TAGTGACAAAAAGCAGAATCCGTATAATGCTTTTTTACCCCGACCCGGTCAATGAATAAGAAATCGAGAAATGTATATTCGAGTTGCAAAGATAACCCATCTCTGATAGAGATATCTGAATTACAGATATAATCCATCTGGGATAGAGGAAAATTTTAACAAGGTTTGAAGTACTTAGAAAATTGTCTAAGTTACAAACCTAAATAATAGATATGCGAAATCTGCTTATCAAATCAAGAAAGTGCCAAATGCTTAGAAGTGTTGAAAAATGCTAAAAACATCAAGGAACCTGACAAACCAATAAACCTGAAATACTTAGAAAAATATATCTGAGTTATCAGGGAGGCATAAAACTCAAGATGCGAGTATAAAGGCAAAATCATCCAAAGGCATGAAATGGATGAAAAGCGTAAGAACTGGATAAGAGTCATCCTGCCCCTGAATTCAGCGAGAGTCTCACTCTATTCCATCTGAACGTCACGACAATGCAGGCCGAACTCAAAAAGGTGAATGATTCTGATCAAGTCAAAATCTGTGAAAGACACGGTATGCACAGTCAGGTTGAAATAGAAGACAATATCACAACGAGATCTGGCAAAGCCGAGCTCAAATAAATAAAGCTACAGTATATAAAACTAGGCTAATTATAGCAAGCAGAAATTTAACTCTGCAAACGAAACATGATCGGGAGAAAAGCCCGACAATATCAGTTAAAAGGGGCTCAAAGATCCCCAAATCAGAAAAAATAAATTTCAAAGGCAAAGTCAGTATTCCGACATACAGAGCTTGGATTAAAGTAATACAGCCCGACAACTCAAATTTTTCGACTGCCGAACTGGGGGCAAGTACAGGAATGCAACCAAAGAGAAAAGCAGCAATCCTCAAGATCTCGGTAAGACAGTCAAAAAGACTGGTCAACTAGTCCGAGCTACGTACCTTGGCCAAAAAGGTTGAGGGAGGAATGTTGAAATAGCATACACGATACCCGGATCATGAAACTCAGCACCGAAGAAAGAACGAAACAAGAAAAAATAAATCTTAAAATACGGATCGACAAGAATCCATGGATTCAGGGAAAAACTTTCCTACATTAAATATGCATCCTGGGCACCCAGATTACCAGATTTGGAGAAATGGGGTCCTAGAAAAAGGATCACACCCCAATCCGGGAAAAAGACGGGTTTGGAGAGATGAGATCCTGAAAAAAAAGGATCATACCCCAATCTGAAATGGCTCACAAGTCAAAACGACGAAATAAGTTGAAAGTCAAAAAATGACACTCTGACGAGAAGCCGAGTTAAATATTATAAAGCCAAGGTATTGGAAGCCTGCGTCTAGCAACGTGCAAGAACCTGGATAGAAAACGGGTCAAAAATAAAAAGCATACTGCAGGACTATGGCTTCTAGCTGAGGCATAGGAAAACGGAAGGATGCTTCTGAATCCTAAATGTTGTCAAAATAAACATGTGTACAAGCTATGATAAATGAAATCAGGCTTGAAAAATAAGGGGTAGATTGGTACGACCTTGATCAAGTCACCATGACGCCTCAAACTTGAAAACCTAATTAAGAAAATTGGGTTAAAAGCAAAAAGTGGAATCCGCATGAAAGACCTTGGCTAGGTCATTTTGTTCAGTTAACGCTGAAAAGCTAAATCTGAATCAATAAAGCCACAATGCAAGAAGTTAGGCTCAAAGCGAAAGCCTCGGAAGGAACAGCTACGAGCTCGATGTTAAAAGGAGGCAAACATTGCCTCACCAAAGCACCACCTCAGCCAAAAAAGGTTGAGGGAGAAATATGGAAACAATACTCGATTCACTAAAACCGGCTGAATGAATGACAGAGATAATATCTGCAATCGTTGACCCAATTAAGTCGGCCAAGAAAAGTTCTAACCCAAAGAAAATTGCTTCAATAAAGATGTCAAGTCAAAGCAAGAATTCGACTGCTAACTTGAACAACATATGCAAAGGAAATTCAAATGCAGAGATTACTGCTATTTCATCCCGACAGCCTGGAAAACCAAACTACCGGGCCCGGGGGCAACTTTTAGCCGGTTACATGGATGAGGGTTGGGGGCAACTCGCCAGTTGGATCCCAACAACCCAAAGTCGTCCGTTCCCCCGTTACACATGAGCAGAATCTTGTCGGGCTCATACATAACCCACCCATGTAAGGAGCCAGGGAAAATCATCCTCGGATTCAGAAGAAAGCTACAAACTCAGAACCGGTGTGTAAAAGATGATGCTTGGGGGCAACTCGCCAGTTGAATCCCAACTACTCAAGCTCATCCCTAACTTGGTATAGGGAGTACGTGAGATATCTCCCCAGGTTTATGCTCAGCCCGCCGAGATAAGGGGCAATAAGGACCCCGATCGAAAAATCCTAAGATATAAAGAGCATATATGCAAAGAGGTATGCAAAGAGTTTAAAAAACTTAAACGCTCTCAGCTCGGCAGAAAACCTGAAGCAGAATAAAAAGAAATTCACCCCAGCAACCCGGATACCCAAGTAGCCTGGCTGAGGGGCAACTGTTATGAACTTGACAAAGGCCTATATTCTAGAAGGTTCAATAAAGGACAACACAAACAGGAAGGGAATATTCTATTAATGACGATCCTATCCAGAGAGCTAAGTAGCCCACATTTTAGAAGGTCCAAATAGTGCTAACTGCTAAGAGGGAATCAAGGAAATATTTCTTAATTATAGTAATCCTACTACGGCAGCAATGGATCAATAATTAGACCCCCAATACTCCTAAGAGGCCCAAAAATTCGCTCCTGCCAGGTAACCCATCTATAAATAAAAGGTTAAACAATAAGGTATACATACTCTAAATCCTCTCTCTTAGTTTGTCACTCTGCACACACCCCACGCCTTGACATGTCGTTATATTATAGTGCACAGTGATCCGCTTATCTTTAGAGTATCTCTCCTATAAGTACCTAAGAGAGGGCAAACAGATCCAATATTTAATTATTAATCTCTAATTGGACATTCACGATCTATCATATCGTAACAAGACGTATATTAATTTTTAAAAAACTAAAATATGAAATCATTTCAAGAAATTTTTGAATTGAATACATAAAAATGTTAATCATCTTGAATCCTCAGTCCACGGGATTGGAAGTCACATCACAGACATTGGCGTGAAACCTTGGGCCAATACCAGCAGCAGTAACGATTTTCAATTCAGAAAATAAATCGTTTGGAAATGAACAGTATTCAACACTAATCACCTCCGTTGCACGGACACGCAAAATTTTGTAAAATTTGCGTGTCGGACACGTGTCCGACACGGACACGTTCCGACACGCTCGAACACGCGTTTGACATGCGGTCAACATTTGGAGACACGCGGTCAACTCTCCGACACGTTTCGACACGTGGTCAATATTTAGGGACACGCAATCAACATTTGGGGACATGCTCGGACACGTTTTTTATTATTTTTTTATTTTTTTTATTTTTTTTTAAATCTTAATTTTATTTTGTTAACTAAATATAAAAGAAATAATTTATAAATTAATTTTTTTCTGTTATGAAATTTGACATTAAAAATTAATAAAGTACGAAAAATTATTTATATTTATATTTGTGTTATGAAGTTTAAATATTTGATTGGTTATATGACTTATTATGAATTCTTATATGTATTAAATATAAATCATATTATATATATTAAAATTTTTATTTAATATCTAAACGTATCCCAATGTGTCCAAATATAACATTTTTTAGAATTAACGTGTCGGCGTGTCGTGTCGTGTCTTATATCCCGTGTCCGTGTCCGTGCATCATAGCTAATCACTATTAGTTTCCAATATTTAACATTTACCGCTAATATATGACATGAAATTAAGGGTTTTCCAAAACTGATTCTTATTCATTTTCCTTTTTTGTTTTATTTTGATACATTAGTGAAAATTGAACAAATAACCTACTACAAATTATCTAAATCCCTCACCATTAAATCGATCCTAGTGTTTTTTTTCATTTTCCTTTTTGATCAAGGTGTAATAATTATTGAATTTTGATCTTTCACTAAAGTCCAATTGAGTTTAGTGTGTAAGAAAAGTCCAAGAAATCTAGAGCCCATTTAGCTTAGGGTTAGAGTTTCTTGGATCCCATGACAGAGGCTAAGGCAAGAACATTTTCCTGAAAGTAAGAGAGTGCTCATTTACTATCCTTTTTTCTCTTGAGATAGTTTAGAAAGTCAGTCTCCAACCAGTTGTAAGGAAATTGTTCGTGTTGTGATACACACGAGATCAGTTTGTAAAAATTTTTTACAAACAAAGAGGTCTCTCATAAATCTACCCTTAAAGAGATATGCCTCGGTGTTAGTGAGATGAAGATAATTTGGTAAGCACAATAATATTTACGTCTTAAATCGTTTATGCATAAATTCAATAAAAAATATGTGAGGCTTTATAAAAAAAAATAAAATCAAATATGTGAGGCTTATGTGTAGATAACTTATTATACATTCCTTTAATGATTCTTATTATACGCATAAATACAATTTTAATTTATCTTTTTTTGTGTTTATTTTTAAAAATAGAATCTTATGTATCTTTTTTCATACCTAATATGTCTATTTTTTTTGGTAGGTATATGCCTATTTTTTTAGTACCGATAGATTAAAATTTTAAGAGAAGAAAAAAATAATAAAAATCAATTGAGATTTAAATTTAAAGATATCGAATATGAATAGATAGAGTTGCTTTATTATTGTCTTTTTGCCTTTAAAATTGGCCCACGCCCCTAGAAAATTGAAAGTTGAAACCCTGCAGACTGCAGTGGTACATTGTCCCTAGACGTGTAATAATATCACTGGTCTCTAAAATTCAACAAATAATGGATGGCGTTATAATTAAGAAGATAATTAATAACTTTTTGAAATGTAAAAAGAAGAAGAAGAAGAAGATAATGTTATTTAGTTTTCTATCAATAAATAATTAGTTAAAACATTAAACAAATACATGGTGGCACCACCACATTCCCACCCACTATTTCCCGTAACATAATCTTCATTTTCCACATTTTACTCTCCTCCATTGCTTCCTTCGCAACCTAATTCTCTCACAACCTCTACCCCTTTTTCATTTTCTCTTCGTTGAAGTTAGCTTTTTTCTGCTCTTGGTTCCTTTTATCCATTGCGTTGTTCATTCATACCGAGTTTTTTGTTGCTGTAAAGGTATGTTTTTTCTTATCTATTGGATTGTTATTGTTCTTGTTGTGATAATTAATAAGGAGAATTTGAGTTTTTCTTCTGTGTTTTGGGATCAAAATTGGATTTTTTCACGTGGGTATTTGCATTTTTTTTTTCTTTTGGTCTTGATGTTCTTGCAAAATGGTTTGCATGCATTGGATTTTCATCTGGGGCAACTTTTTAAGGTTCATTTTACTATGCTCTCTTTTTGAGGATTGAATCTGCATTAGTTTTTGTCAAATTTGTGTTACTGGAATGGAAAACTGGGAATTAGTAATGAATTATTGTGAATTAACCAAATTTGTATTGAAAATTTTATTTCTTAAATCATTGATTCCACTTTCTTGAGGAAGAAAAGCTTTTTCTGGAAATTGTGCTATAACTGCCTCCGCTCTTGCTGTAAGGTTGGTATGGGGTTATTTCTCTTGCAAATTCTCTACTAAAATTGTTGATAAATAGTGTTTCTTTGGACTAAGATTATTGTTGATTCCAAGAAAAGGGACTGGTTCTTTCGTTATGTCGATCAAGGATCAATGAATATATAAATTTGCTTTATTGATTACTATGATGAGTTGTTATAATTAATTTATAATGTGAGGATTTGTGGGACTTTGGCATATTTTTCGATCATATGCATCGAAGCGATCGTTTCTTAAGAAATCAACACTGTGAACATGTTGCTACATAACCCAAATCTGTTAACATGTATGTGATTTTGATTTTAAAGGAACCTTTAGAATCTCTATAACCACTCCCCATGAAACTCTGCAAGGGTAGAGGTGAGGGAAATCCTTATATGTAACCTTATCAATGCATCTTTGCACAGAGGTTGTTTCTTGAGTTTCAAACCCATGGCCCCATGACCTTTGATTGATTTGATTTGTGATCCCAAGTTATTACTTCAAATTGGATCATTATAATGAAAGTCCAGGTTAATTGGTTATATTTGGGTGTGCCTGCAAATACTATTTAGCTTATGTGCCATGCTCATTGGGGGTACAAAGTACCAACTGATGATCTCACAAGTTACACATAAATTTAACATCATGAATTTGTATTTGATGTATATTTTGAACATACTCTTAAAAAAATGCAGCTTTCTGAAATTTCATTTGTAATTTGAATCTCTGATCTCGTTGTTTCTACTGCTAGATCTGGTTTGTCTAAAATAATTGCAGCTTTCTAACTTTTTCGAATCTGTAACAGGATATATTAGCTGTGGAAGAAAACACAATGGAATCTAAATATTTTGACTCTAATGGGGAATTCTCACTAAAGCAAAAATTGAAATCCAGTTCATCAGAGACAACAGCAATCTCTAGTGGTGACAATGGTTGCTTTGATTGCAATATTTGCCTGGAATCAGCACATGAACCTGTGGTGACTCTTTGCGGTCATCTGTACTGCTGGCCATGCATATACAAGTGGCTTCATGTCCAGAGCACCTCTGTTGAACCAGACCAGCAGCCAACATGCCCGGTTTGTAAAGCTGAGATCTCTCATACTTCATTAGTCCCCCTTTATGGCCGGGGAACATCGAATTCAGAATCTGAAGCCAAGAAACTCCAGTTGGGTTTGGGAATACCTCATAGGCCACCTCCTTACAACTTGAATGCTATGTTAACTTCTACTCGCGCATCAACATCACATCCTGGTCAGCAACTCCATCCAAGTTATTTCCAGTCACAATCACGGCCATTTCATTATCAGCAATACTTCCCTCACCTTTATGGAGGTTATGGTGCCAATGGATTACCTTATCTTGGGGGTCCTGCTGTGACTAGTTTTTTTAATCCTATGATTGGCATGTTTGGGGAGATGGTCTTGACAAGGATTTTTGGGGTCTCAGATGCAAATTTGTTTCCTTACCCTCATAATGGAAGTGCCAGTCCTAGAATGAGAAGGCAGGAGATGCAGATTGATAAGTCTCTAAACAGAGTTTCTGTCTTTCTTCTATGCTGTATCATTTTGTGTCTTCTCTTATTCTGAAGACATTTTATTTCACAGATTGTATAGGCACATATCAGGTGCATTACTGAATATTCATGCTGTTAGGGACCTACTCTAGGTTGTGCGATCATGTAGATAAGTAGGTTTTAGTATATGTTATGATTATGATGATATTTTATCATAATCATATGTTTATGTTCATGATCTGAAACCAAATGATCTTCAAGCCTGATTAAGGAGTTTGTAACTGAGGAGTGAAGAAGGATTTTTATAAAGTAATAAGGCCTCAAGTGTGACTATGAACAAATGTTCTCTTCCCTCCCTCCTTTTTATTGAGTCAATTTGTATTGGAGCTCGTTTATTTTTAATGCATGCAGTTTACATTCTTGTGTGTTCATGAAGCTTGTTTCAATTGCTTGATCAGCAGTTAGAAACTTTTTGAGGAATGTATTATAACATGTAATTTGGATGTGTATCAAATGCATTTTTGGTAATAGCATGCCACATAAACTACTTTAATTTATTTTTACTTGGGTGCAACTAAACTACTTTAAATTCATCTTAAAACTGTGCCCCCCCCAAAAAAAATTAATCTTAAAATAACTTCCACCCCCCCCCCCCCCCCCCCCCCTCTACATTAAAAATTTGTACATACGAGGCTCCTTGTTAAAGTTTCATGTTCTATGAAAATGTTTTGTAAGTCTGATGAGAAATAGCGAGAAAAGAAACAGAAGGATAAAACTTGCGGGAGGAAGAAAAAGAATTTTCATTGTTGAATTTAAAATTTTATACCATTGCTGTTAGTGATAGTATCTTCAGATCCATTTAATTATTCTTGCAATTATCTCTTAGAATTATGGATTTATAGCATTTGTTTTGCGGATGTGGTGTATAAAGTTTCCTTACTCGAGAAAGAAGAAAATGCATGCCTTTGTCAAAGTCGCTTGTGATTCCATATTTCATTTAATGTAAAGAAAACCAACACTCACTGAAAGTAAACAGATTGCATGTCTAGAGAGATTTCATTTGGAAAGGAAGCAATTGAAAGATGCCACAAAAATGCATTTTGTTTACCTATGTCTCTTCTCTAATGAAATTTTCCTCTATGGCTATTCTTAATATGGCGGAAAGATTTCTTGTTCAACATGGGGACAGTGATTGAAAATTTCCTTAATCTTTTTCAGCACTTGAATTGCATTTGCATTCCTCATCTCAGGGTTGCGAATCAAAGCCTTCACCATATTAATATGGCAAGTAATTGACCCATTTTCACAAGCTTTTCACAACAGAAATTTGGGTTTTTCTGGTTGTAACTTGATCACACATACGGAAAATCTTATCGCCCTTGGCCAAAACTTAAATTCAAAAGCTCTGGCTTGGTTTCAAGAATAAATATTGTAAGTTTGGTGTGACAAGAATAACCCGTTTGAAGAATCTTCTAACAACAATCTGTGGAAAATATAGATTTATTATCGTAGAACAATTAGTCAACCACTTGTTTTTCAGTGTGTGATCCCATATGCTTTGCACATTGAAGCACAGACTCTTCCTTGGTAGGCTGAGATCGTAGCTATTGTGGTAGCTAGGGTGTTAATGGGCCGAGCCGAGCTTTGATCTTAAAAGGCTAAGTCTGTATTTAAATGTGTTAGCCTGACCAAGCCTGTTACTTGTTATAAATATAATTATCGGCCTATGGCCTGCCTTATTTACAAAAAATAAAATCCTGGTTTAGCCTGCTTAAAAACTAAGAATTTTTTTTTTATCTAAACAGAATACAATCAACAACACTAGTAATTCCATAAATATTCATAAATTCAATATATATCCAAACAATATAATATAGAACAAAATCATTCAAAATGTCTGTTTAACCAATAAAATAGGATGAAATGGATTGAGGAGAAAGAGAGGACTATTACAAGTAGTAAAAAAATATATATAAAAAAAATATACTAGGTCAGCCTGAGAGGCTCTAAGGCCAAGCTTTTGAATTGGAGCCTGAAACTTTTTTATTAAACGAGCTTTTATACACGTTCAAACCTGGTGCCAACAATCAATTTTAGAGATATAAACTCAGGCCTTCACGAGCCGAGCCAAAAGTCTCTGATTTATTTAGCACCCCTAGTGGTAACCCAAAAGAAAGCCACCAAATTAAAATAATTGTTAAGCCTTTGCATGAGATTTGATGAAAATACATTATTGGATGTGGAATATATATCTTTGAAATAATCGTGACCTTTCACATCCTATCTTGGAAACAGTTGTTGGTTATTCTTGGGCATCAAACAAATTAAATTAAAAAAATAAAAGTAATTCTTGGGCTAGGATTTTTCCCCTTATTTTTCATCATATGTTTTGTGACATTGGATGAACTTAATTTGTATTTTCTTACATGCCGTGATAATTGATTGTTCTTGTAATTTTTCAAAGGAATTTCATAAACACAAAATTTCCAACGTGTCAGTAATTTTTTCCTTTTTTTGTTTTTGGCGTCTTCTACAGGTTTCTACATGTATCTTTCTAGAGCAAACTTGTTCACTGCAAACCATTTGAATAGTCGTTCCAAGTGAAAGTTCAAATCCATTATCTATGATTTCACTATCAAATCTTGTAAACTAAAACGTTGTAATTTTGAATGACTTTTAAATATCTATGCCTCAAATGCATATGCCACTGATAGATTCCAATATCAAATTTTAACTGTTGATTTTTGTCAATGGACGGTTATAATTTATTGAAAATTAGTAATTAATTAATAAGTGTGAACAAATAAATTATAATCATTAAATTAACAGAAATCAACGATTAGAATTTAGTGTTAACCTTTTTAATTTGATACCAATATTAAACATCATGTTTTATGTGGTAGGATCCTTTGACACCGGTGTCAAATTTTAAGTTTGACACCTCATCTGAGAGCCGTTAGATAAAAAAAATCAATGGTGTCACACGCTTACAAATCAGAGTCGTTAATCTTTTTTAATTTAATGGCTCTCAGATGAGGTGTGTCAAACTTGAAATTTGACACTGGTGTCAAATGATCCGACCTCTTTCATATATATAACCGTTTGAACAATCAATAGAGGCTAAAAGAATCGACTCTAATTCCCATTTTTGGTGTAGTGACTTTTGACAGGCACATTCATAAGATATATTAGGGGAAAAATGTTATAGGATAATTCTTTCCAATGTTATTAAACTCGACCTGGTTATTGAACCGGTCGAGGTGCTGGGTTACTGGTTCAACCAGTGGGTTACTGATTTAACTGCATGACCCAACAAATATATATAAAATATAATTTTTATATTAAAAAAATATACACATACTCAAATATATATATATAAATAATTAAAAAATAATACCAATGCAAGGGGATGAAAGACTAATGCACTTATCCTGAGTTTTGTGTATATTATACTAAAAAATATGAGACCATGCTTGTATTCACTACAACTTCAGATCCAATAAAATTCCTTGCTTCTGACATAACCTACGACTCTAAAGAAATTTCCTTGCGTGACCTTGAAAATTGCCTTCCGAACAAGCTTCTAAATTCAACTATTTATCAATTGAAAAAATATGAATACATTTTTTCTCTCACAGCGTTGCACATCAATGGCTATCACAGATGAATAGAACACAACCAAAACATCGATTATGGAGCAGAAGCATATGCACCCACTTCACCAAATTACAGGGACACCGACCCACAAGCTCCTCCTGAAGCAATGGCTGAAGGAAAAGGAACCCATCCATGGCCGCATAGTCCTGAAGGAGACCCAAATAGAGTCTGTTTGCAAAGAGATAACAATGCTCTACATCTTCTTTTTCCTGTTCCACTCAACCACCCTCATGCTCCTCTTCAACTCTTCTTCTTCAACAACAACACCCAATGCCACAGGTCGTGGATCCCATCACTATGGTCTCCCTTGGCATCATATGGGCCATTAGGTACAAGAGCGATGTGGAGGTCCACATGAAGAAGATGCTGCAGAGGGAGAAAGAGGATAAGGGGATGTTAGGGAAGTGTGTGGAATATGAAGTATAGGAGAATGTGTTCCACATCGTTTAAAACATGAGAGAAATTACCCTTTATAAATAATATGACTGCAATCTTTACATGTGAAGCTTGCTTTGCATGTTCACTTGCTCTTTGTAGAAAGTAGCTATACGGGTTATTGCCATCCAACTGCGGTTACTGGTTTTTGTAAAAACGGGCGAGTTGTAGCGGTTTCTTTCAGGTTGTACCGGTTCAGTAACATGACCGATCTATTGTGTGGTATGACCAGTTCACTGGTTTCTGGGTTGAACCGGACGGTCCGGTCCAGTTTTTGTAACACTGATTTTAAGTGGTTCTTGGAATTTGCTTTTTGTTTTGGAAAAGTACACATTAAGGATAAGAATTACTCCAAACCAATGACCCATTCTCCAAAAAAAGTTAAAGGGTTTTCATTTTCTCGTTTTGGAAAAGTAATTTATTAATAGAGTGCATGTGTTGCATTGAAAATTTAAAAGTTTCTTACTTCGAAACAAAATAGAAATTGAAAAGTTTTTTTCTTTTAAAAACTTATTAATTTCAGAATTGTATTTATATTTTTATATTTTCTTAATCTACTATTTTTTTCTTCTATCAATATATATGTTTCAACTTCAACTTCATTTTCATTAATTATTTTACTCACAATAATATGTTTTCTTAATATTCATATTATTAATTAAGAACATTTTTATATTTCAAAATTAAGTTATTAGGTTATATTATTTTTTTAAATTTGAATATATATATATATATATATATATATATATATATATATATATATATATGTCTGGTTTAAGCGGTTGAACCAATGACCCACTGGTTGAACCAGTGACCCAGTGCCCCGATCGAGTCAATAACCGGTCCGGGTTTTATAACATTGCTTGAAACCCTTCTTCTTTATTTGGGATGAAGACTTGGGTGAGTCTAATCTGAAGTATTATGCATGGCATATCCTATCTGTCTGTTGGAAATCATTTTCTGGATTGTTTCTATTAGTTTGCTTTTAGTGCGAGAAATTTAAATCCCTAAAACCAAACCCGAATGTTTCTCATTTCCAATAACCCAGATTCTGTACAAACAAAATCCATCATTTCTCATCTCCGCTAACCTCATTTCTTCAGTACTATTGTTTCAATCTATAATCTTTCTTCTTCATCTATGAGGGCAGTGGTTACCATGAATAAAAAAAAGACCTACAATGAAACTCGAAGAGAAAGTCTTGGAGAGAGATAAAATACCATGGTGAAGAAGGCTATGCTAGTGGATGTCAAGATCTTGAAGGGAAATGATGAAACACCGTAAATATTTTTTTTTCATCTCC